TGCGAATCCGCAAAACCAAAAATTACAACAGTGCTAACCATATATTTGAATGAACTAGCGCACACTTTTCACGATTTCGACGCTGCGAATTTTTCTTTTGACGCATTCGAAACGCGGCTTGCAAAACTAATAGAAAACGTTCGTAACAATCCTATTTTATATGATATGGATACGCAGAATTGAATTGGTCAAGATTTGGCAGCATTTTTCAAGTTCCCATGAAACAGGTTTATTCGTGTGATTTTAATTACCCCTCATGGAGGTAATTTTGGGTACCAAGAATCCGTCTTTTCCGACCAGTGTGCTTTGTGTGCTTTTTTACAGGCTTCTAATTGAGTTCAGGAAAGTAAAATTTGCGAACCAACCTAATGTACGTACATAAGGTTGGGTAGCGGACAAAACAAATCGTAACTACCTACGCTAGTTTGGTGACTCATTCGAGATGAATTTCCCACCCCAATTGATTTTTAGGGAGAAATAAAGGGTCCAAAATTACCCATACGAGTAGAAGCTATAGGTTTAAGAGGTTCCGAGAAAATATCCCTCGAAGAAAATTGAATCATAGGTTCCCGAATTAAATCGATTTTGGCCAAAACATGCCATTTAAAAAAAAATGTGACGTAGGTGAGCAAAAAGGAATTGGGGCTTTTGTTAATAAAAAAAAAACTATGCAAACACATCTGCATATTTCAATTCTATATAACCCAGTTAACCAACAGCATACAAGTTCTAACCTGGTGAAATACATAATTCCGAATTCTCAGGCAACACAAAAACAATAAATACTATCGCCACTCAAATAAAATCACCTTTGTATGCGCGAGAGATGCTCAACAAACAGCAGCGCTCACAAAGTTACCCAAAACATCCCATAATATGTAGTATGTACTCATATTAGCGCATCCATACCTACATACATACCAACTACTCACAGAAGCGGTGCGTCCAACTAGTACTTACTCATCAAGAGCAAAACGTATAAGCATTGCATTAGCTTGTCAGTCGGGTATTGTTGTTCGTGGCAAGCGCATGTGTTGTATGGTTGTGTTAAGGTCAAAGTCGATGCCTTTGTCGTCGTCATCGTTGCTACGTCATGATCGTCGTCACTAACATTTTCAATTCATTAAATCGGTATCAAAAGTCATGTTAGCTCTTGACTTATAGCGCTATTTCACGTGTTCTTACATTAACCAACTGGCTCTCAACTTAAATACATAGTACGTGGTAGTGTTGACTCGAGCAAATTCTAACGATTTCACAAGCATTACTTAAGCAACATATACTGTGTAAGTGAAATTCGCACTATAACCATCAGGTGTATTTTATTTATTTTATACGCGTATGTATTCGCTTTGTAGAAAATTCAATTCAAGTTATTCATTGTTTATGTAACCATGTAACACAGTCTCCGGTACCTATGCTGCTCCTACTGGCACTGGGATTTGATAGTTATTGGGTATTGCATAGTGAGTTTTCTGCTGTAGTGGTTTTTGTTGTTCTCTTTGGCATGTCTTGGCATTGGCAGAGTGAAAGTCACGAAAAACAAACAATCGACAGCAACAGCGCGCATAATTCTCTGTAGCCGTGTGCAACAGCGCGCCCAGAGCGCCAATAAAAATGTGTAAATGTGCAACATGGAGCGGAGTGAATTGCAATCAGCTGTTTGGTATGGCACGGAAATATACTGGTGTTCATATGCATGTGTACATATGTAACTATTCCCGTTTAAGGTGTTTCATTACTTTTTTTCAATGTGAATTTTTAATGCTATTATCAGGTGGTCACACATTTCATATAACTCGTAGTAAAAATTTTGATTGATTTTTTGATTAAATAACGATTAAATCATATGGCTAGTACATTTTTGTGCGGCTCACAGTTCTCACTCTACAAGTATGTATGTATATACATATGTAGTCATTCATTCAGATATGTACTGGTTATTAACCGACTTTACAAAAAGGAGAAGGTTATCAATTCGTCCGAATATTACGACGGTTAATAAAGTCATGTACATACATATGTTTGTAAATTGCGCGTACTTCGAAGCATTTTAAAGGACAAACAAATGATGAAAAATCATTATATCATTGCTTAGTGATAGTTTTATATGAAAAAAGCCTAGACAATTAACAGCTTAAAAGGTAAATATATGAAGATGGAAAAGCATATTTGCAACCAATAGAAAATATTACTACTCGTCAATTTGTTTAATGTTCAGGGGCTCAAAAGGATGTCTCAAAACATACATATGTATATAGGCCGTGTTATATATTAAATATAAGTATGTGTGTACATATGAGTATTATATTTTATAAGTTATAATAAACGGCTAATAAAAAATCTAACCTCTTGATTAACGCTGTAACCACCCGCCTCATAGTGGTCGAGATAGCCAATCTTGCGTAAGAGAATTAATATCTTCCAAAATATTATAGCTATCGTCTCCCTGCTTTTTTTTCGTTATTTAGGGCCGGTTGCTCAAAGCCTGGTTGACATTAATCATCGATTAACATCTTTAACGATGTTTTCTACTCCATGCAACCTGCCCTAAGAGAATTAATAAGGAACAATTTGAAAACAGGTTTATTTT